GTTGAAGCTACTTACTTTGCATGTTATTGAGTTTCTAACTTGTTTTGATATTCCAAGCGTTTAGCAAGTGGCTTAGCCTAAACGTAGGCACCCATTTCTTATTTTCTATTGTCGTTTTGGTTGCTAATAGTTCTAATCTTACTTGATTATTCAAGAAATCGTGCAATTCTTAACACATCCATTTAACACATGTTAGTCCTACAAGTTATCTTTGTTATTTTGTTTCGCATTAGATAAATTTAATAATTAAAACTGAAGTTAGCAATCGTATGTCAGGCTGCAAAAAACTAACAGTATGCAGAATCTGAAGTACTGAAATAGTCAGACATTTCTTAAAGCAGGCTATGCTAGATGCTGATGTTTTAGAGTTTTAATAAACTTCTACCAATTAAAATTCTTGGGGAATAATGGATCCCTAGCGACTCATCTTAACCATTGTGCTGGTCAACATCATTGAATAACCTGTGATTCATTTGATCTATCCTTAATTACCTGAAATAACCTTGATCAAACATCTTGTAATTTCTGGAAATTAACTCAATTTAGTACCTAAAATTTTATTTAAGACTTGAATTTTCAGATTATCATTATAAAAGTTTTAAATTATTTTTTCATTGAAGGATTTTTATGCCATATAATATGCGTGTTGATCCTTCACAACTTCGCTAACTTCATGTTTTACTTGCTTTTACAGCCCTGGCTTTGCAATTCATCATTCATGAACATGAGCTTTCATCTGGCCATTTTCTTCATTTTTTTTAAAAAAAATAAACTATATGATCTTAAAAAAATAGCATAATATATGCCATGCTTAATTCCGACTCTTAGAAATATCCATCTCTCCTTGTCACAAGTTGATTTTGTCAGTCATGTCCAACTGATGCTATCAAGAATTTATGTACCTTTTATTTTATTTAAACAATAGTATATTTTGTTTTATTTTGTTTTCTTTTCTTTTTTAGCTATCCAATGATGGAAAGCATTCAATGATCATGGTAGGTTGTGCATAGGGCTTGGTAGACCTTTGGTTTGCTGGCTTGATTGGTCCTTGGCTGTTGATGGTTCACGGGTTGGCTGTTTTGGAGCACATGGTATTGAGCTTGTTCTTTTAGTTGCTTGAAGTTGGAGTTTAGTAGCTCTTTAATTCTCAAAAGGTACCTCATTAAGAAGAATTACTTTTGGAGTGGCCTTGTCCCTTCCGCTTCCCCCTTCTTCTTGTCTCTTGGAAAACCGTGGCTTGTATTTAATGGAGGCTGAATTCTATGCATTAGAATTTATGATGGGGTTACTGATTTTTGTGCTTTACCTCTTGGGAGTCCAGCCGGCCTCTATTTTTCCGTGCTTGGGTGTTTTTCCCGTGGCTGTGTTGCTTTGATTTCATGCGGCCTGCTTGCTTACCGTGATGTTGGCTCCTTGGTTCCGTGAACTACCCTTTGATTCCCGTAACTGGTTTTATGCTGGGCTGTTTTTCGAAATGGCATTTGGAAATCTTATGAAATATTATGCTCGGGATCTTATGAACATTAACTAAGGTGGCTTTTGGCATTCCTCTACTTTGCCTATAAATAAGAGAAGATGTTAAGAATGAAGGCAGTTGATATTGGTGAGCATATTTGCTATTAACCTGCGGGTTTATTTGGAAATCCTGCGGGCTCTTTCCACCCTTCTTTTCTCATCCCCTCCGGAAATCCTGCGGGCTCTTTCCACACTTTCTTCTCGGACTTTTAACCTCTTCGTCTCTCCGCAAGTGCCACTCCATTTGTATCCTTCTTCTCAACAGTGAAGCAACTTTAGGGTGTCGTGTCTTGGTTGATTTGGAAGCATTTGGACAATCTTGCAGTGGCGGACCATCGGTTTGCTAGTCTTATGCACTTTCCTTATTTAACGTACAATTCGATGCATGTGAGGAACCCGCTCTGACGGTTGTCTGAGGATAGCGTCCTTTTAATTTTTTTTATTTCTTTAAAATCTCCTAGTATTTCTTGTTGTGTTTGTCAAGTTTTAGTTGTCTGCTTTTATTTTAATAAAGTTTGTTTTAAGTTCTATCCATTGCGTTAATTTCTTCTTGTGTGTCTACATCACCAACTAAGCCAAAATGTCTACGCAATTAGGGTTTCATATTGGCAATGCTAATGGCAATGATGACATTAGTTGTTGACTTGTTTCAGATATTGTTTAAGTGTATTGTAACATACTAGGCTTAGAATGATGAGTATTTTTTGACACATACCTTCTTTTTGATATTGTATGAATGCTAGATTCTAAGCTTAGCTGAGCATCCCTTTTGTTTTTTTTGGAGCATGTCTACATTATTTTTGTTGTTTTATAGCAAATTCTCACTGATACATTGTACAACTGCAAGATTGTTTCAGAAGGCATGGTAGTAATTATAAACTTTTATACCCATGTTTGGTTGGCAAGTTGATGTTTTAGCTTACAATGACATTTCTTTTTTAGATTTAAATGAGAATTTGAGTCTTAACAGGACACAATGGAGAAAAAAGAATCCATATAGCCGGACCCACGTAGTGGTATAAATGTTTGATGTTGTTGTTGGTGTTGTATTGAAATATTAGAAGTTTTCATTTATTCCCGTCTTTAAGTTGTTTTTGCATCATCACCTCCTTGGATACACTGGCATTTTGCACTGACTTTTTTCCAACTGCTTTATGCTATCTTTCTTAATATCCTTTGCATTAACATCGCTAACCATTTCCTACTTCAATTTTGCTGTTATTTATAATCTGTTGAGCCAAACTGATCTTTAGGGTGCGTTTGGGACGGCTGTAGCTGTCGATAAAGTAGGTTGCAAAATTGTTGTACATAAAGTTGCTTTAAAAAAATTGATGTACAGAAAGCAGTACATTTTGTTTGGGAAGTATAACTGTCAAGTTGCTGTGCTGCAGCTGTATAGGAATAAATTACCTTTATAACTTTATATATTGAGATGAAAAAAAATGATGTAAATGTTAAAATTTTCAAAAATATTATATGATAATAAACTAACTATTCTAAATAAAAAATTGTATCAATTTTTTATGAAATATTTTATAACTATTAAATATCATAATATAATTTTTTTATAATGTATTATCATATATTCATATTTACCATCAAGAATGCCCTGAAAACTACTGATACACTACTACAAGTCCACATACTTTCCAGGTGCACCAGTGAAAACTTCAGCAACATGGAGAGGTTGGCTCAGGAAATGCTGGATCTTACGAGCACGAGCAACAATAAGCTTATAATCTTCACTGAAATCATCCATTCCAAGAATTGCAATGATATCTTGAAGCTTCTTAATAGTTTTGAAGATCCTTCTGAACACCACGACTAGTGTTGTATTGCTCTTGTCCTAAGACATGGGGAGAAAGCATTCTAGATGCGGAATCAAGCAGATCAACAGCAGGATAGATACCAAGTTCATAGATCTGTCTTGACAACATGGTTGTGGCATCAAGATGTGCAAAAGTGGTAGCGATCGTCCTCAACAACTCAACGGTGCGGGAGAGGAGGAAACCAGTGGGTTAAGGGCGATAGATCGGGGAAGGAATGGAAGGTATTGGATTTGGGAAGGAGGATATGTGAGATGAGAAATGGCGAGAGGAAACGCGGAGTAAGGATGCGAGGATCCGACGTGAGGCCATGGAAAGCGAGAGCTAGGTTAAACATCTGCTTATCCGAGATGGATGAGCATGAGGAGGATGACGGTGGTAGTCGGAAGCGGTGCTGAAGGCTTCGGACAACATTAGCGAATATTTGCAGCGGGATTTACATCATTTTTCTGCCAAAAGCAGTGGACCGCGGGAGATAGAGAATGGTCGCGGGAAGCAACTACGTGCCACGAATTTTTTCTGCCGTGGTTCTGCCGCAATGTCCCAAACAATGATTTAATAACTTTTTATAAAGTAAAGCAGCAGTACCACCGTCCCAAACGCACCCTTAATTGTCTGTTTGCATCTGCTTCCTTGACAGTTTGGCTTTTCTGCCGTTTGCACAGCTTACACAAAATTTGCCACCATAAGAAGATTACGTCATCCTTATAATCTAAGCATTCCTCATCTCTGCTAAAAGACCTGAAGAGGTTGAATTTTATTATAGCTGGGCCGGCTTTTGGGTTGATTTGCACAGCTACAGACTCATCTGGTTGGCCTAGATCCGAAACATTGATACCCTTAGTTTTGGGTTGTCTTTTTGGCCTGTCTGCATTAGTAGCTTGTTAAAATCAAATCGTTTCCATAGTTGGCCTAAATTAACTCACAAATTAATATTTTACATATTTATAATGTGTATTTTATGTTTACTATCACATATTATTACCATCACCATTTTAGGCATTCCTATTAGAAATATGGTTTAAAACAGGACCCTGCTGGGCCTGAGTTGGTTGGGCTATATGAGATACGAGCCAGGCCATTTTCCAGCCTGGTACATGCTAACCTAGCTCAAAATCTGCTATTAAAAACTATTGATGTTGTTAATTGCGAGGTCTAGGTTTTTTCAAGTTCTATAGCATCTGCTTTTTTTTAATTTTATTTTTAATTTTAAGAAATTCGTGCTCACATGGGTTTGCATTCATGTATTGAATTGTTCTGGCAATTTCTTCCTCTCCATATAATGTAATAGAACTCTAGTATATGTTTGAGCTGGTTCAGTGATCATACGAATTAGCAGCTTTCGCATCCTTGATCCTCTTCTTGATCCTATCTGTAGACGAGGCATTCCATTATACGCTTATTTCTATTTTTGGGCTACCTTAAATTTACTTGAACAAATGTTATTAAGCTATTCTAGTTCCAATCGGTAAGGTTGTCCGATAATGTTGTTCTTCTCATCTACTGGTTTTAATCAACCAATTAAGCTTTTCTGCTGTTATTGCTAATCTTCAGAACTAAAAGCCTAATGAAATGAATTCATGATATCATTACTATTTCTTGAATGCAATTTAAATATTACCAATGTGATTTGCTATATTGTTTTGAATCCATGCACAGGTATTGTGATTGGAAAATTTTTTCCTTGAACGAACTGTTGTACTTTTTTGGACAGAGATATGCCAGGTATGTCACTTAAGACTTTAATGGTTTACTTTGATTTCTTTTTGTAACCAGCTTGGCGAATACGATATTTTTAATCTATTTTTCTTGGTATCTCATTATACTTGATCTTTGTATTCTACTTTCTTTTCTCTTTCCCTTTTTGCAGTCCAACCTGCCTTTTTACTTCAACTATATGCTTTCTGTTGACGGTGTGGATAGCGAATTTGACTTTATAAAGTGTTGGCCTTTGTATGTGTTTTACGATCAATTCAAGCAAATGCGATGAGAATGGAGATCGTTTGATGTAGGGGGTGTTAAAACGGGTATTCGGGTCGGGTTAGGTGGAACCCGGGATTGACCCGCGCTCAATTCAGCTAACCAAAACCCAACCCAATTTTGTAAACGGGTTAGAAATTTAGACCTAGACCGACTTGCCAGGTTATTGGGTTGAACCGACTCGACCTGCTAACTTGGAACACACCAGGAGAGATTGGCGAGTTCATGCATTGGTGCGTGCGGGTGGAGGGGGAGAGCACATCGAGGTGGCAAGCACGGCCTACGTGTGTGAAGTTATGTTTCTGCTCCAGGATCGTCCAGGACGATCTGGGAT